AATTGCTTCAGCTGTCTGTAGAAGACGAACTCGTAGAGCAAAGTTAAGATTAGTCGGAATGCGATAAATAATTTTAAATGCAGTATTCACATCAACCTTGTGCTCAGTATCAACAAGGTGTGCTAAAATAGAACTACGAATAGTTTTTGTCCAAATAGCTATAAACGAGCACTAGTCAGGACTCTGCACTATAGAGCGAGGAGAATACGCTCTGCAGAGAAACTAGAGGAAGAATTTACGATTCTTGAAAAGGTGCTGAAAAACAATGGTTATCCTCAAAGATTCATTAACAAATATGGAAGATGTGAAGGCTCAAATACCGAACAAATCACAGTTGAAAAAATGCCTGTCTTTATTCAACTAGATTTTAAAGGTGAAAACATTGCAACAATGGTCAACAGAAGACTGAGTAAGTCTCTAGCCAGAGCCTATGTTGCAGCTAAGCTCGTTGCCGTCTATCGAACAACATGCTCTTTGGCACAGTCAAAAGTCGATAGATACCCTTGTCATGTTAACTCCTACTGCGTTTACAAATTTGAGTGTATCTACCGAAGCATTTACACTGGGAGGACAGAAAGAAGGGCACACTTCCGATTTTCTGAAAATGTGCACTAAAGCCTACGTCTCAAAGGAAGAAACTCGTATAATAGCACTATTACCAGATATCTCCTCGATACGGGTCATGAGGTGGAAATTGTGAAATCTTTTAAAATTATCGATAGATAGAGGATCTCGATTATCCTCAAGTTTACCAAAGCAATTTCTATCAAATGCTTGAAACCAGATTTATGTGTTCAGAAAGAAACAGTTGATAGTCTTTCCTTGCTACCCTTGTAACTGGATGTCTTTATTCTCTCTTTCATTGGATTACGTAATCTTCAGCTTTAACCTCACCCCCTTTGATACAGTGTAACTTTTCTTGTCTCGTTCCTATGATTTAAGTCGAACTCAGTACATTGTTACCTAATTTATTAGTCAATCAGCATCTTACGCATCTCTCATCCTTATTAGGCAACTCCTTTTCCCTTGTATGTAAACATTTATTTTGTTTAAACTTGAACTGCCTGTGTAAAAACTATACAAGCGCAATTTTCTGAGCACTGTTCACTTATTCCGGAACCATCTGTTAACTGACATCATGTAAAATTTGCAAGTATGTTAAAACTTTTCTGCAAATAAACCTCATAATTTATTTAGGCTCTAAGCATCTGAGTTGATAAGAATCCAACGAAATAAGCAATGATGGTACCACATTATTCTGCACAAGCTGCCACTGTTGTTCTTGCTTTATTCAGAGATCAAAATATCAACTCTAATTATTCCTATAGTTTGAAAACAATTGGTTATTTGTTTACGCTTTTTAAGGTCACTTAAATATTACGAATATACTGCTAACGCTCCAAGTGCTTCAGATGACTTTAACAGCACATTCGCGTTCCCTCTCAATCCAATAACGTCATTTTTATCTAGTACCTCACCACATAATTGTATCCATCCCAACCATTGTATCTCTCTCCGTCAAACCTCCAACTTCTCTTTCGATGGTGACTGGTGTGCAATATCATCTGAAAGCCTCTCTAACACGTATATCCACTCCGTCTCCATTTCTTTCTACATATTTTGTTGTTCTCAACTGCTCCATTATCTACTAGAGTTCCTTGAGTTTTTTTATCCTTTCTAACCGACCATCTGATCCTCAGAAGCAACACTTAGACAACTGTGTTGATGAGAATCTGTAGTAGGTTGTTGGAGACAGATTTTGTGATGGGTCTTATGCCCCGAACGCGTTGAACACTGTAGATTTTCACGCTGATTTTAGAGTTTGCCTAAAGAACTGATAAGGTTTTGACTTTCAATTTCCTTCTTTTTAAACAACTTGAATTTACCGCGAAAAACAGTGGAGATTCTCTTTTAGGTGTTCAATTCACCCTTTACATGATTAGTGGGCATTTGTGTTCATCAATTATCAGTAAACTGAATGTGACTGTTTTCATTTTAATGATCCAGACAGACTAATATCATTTAGAGAACTAATTAAAACCAGAAATCCCTGGAGACTCGTTTCGTCCTTATTTTTTGGACTAACTCTTCAGCCGTACGAACTTTATTGATGTTAAAACTTGGGACCTTCCGGTTATATTGGAAGCTTGTTGACCATTCAGTCACTGAGATATGATTCATTAGCCAGCGCATTCGTGATTTATGCGCAAACCGCCAGCCAGTGACATCGGCGACGAGTATTTATCCTCACACTCGACCGGGGGGATTCCGTTGGTAATGAATTCTTACTAGAATTCCAGACGACTTCGTCGTGTAGCTTGTCACCCACTTGAGGGAATCAGCTAAATCTTCAAGGATTGATTTGTAAGAATTTGAGTTGTTTCACGTTCGGTCTTGGATTGATATCAGTCAAGGTTAATTTTCTATGTCAGGTTAATATAAGGATTCAATGGAATATTTAAATTGTTTGTAATTTACAAATGAATAGTGTAAAACACCTGCCATTTTATTCAGTTTAATATAATATACTGAAAGACTGCAAGAAGTATTCAGGAAGAAGACTCAGCCTCATAAAATCTACTATGATGTAGGTGAAATGCAAGGGAATGGAGGTAATGGGTGGGTCGGACAAACACGCTACGTGACATTCAATTAATATCTCACAATAGGCATCCCCATGATTGCCAAGTTTGACGTGAATCCGTTGAAAACGGGGGAAAACTCTCTGTCACCGGAAGCAAGGCAGGGAGAATAACTGGAACAGTAAATCCCCTTGTCTAGTTCAGATCAAATTGCAACTCTAAGCATCATCATCGAACAGAGGATAGAGTGGAAGTCAAGTCTCTACTTCATCTCCATAAACTCTGAAGAGGCTACCGACAGGATTGACTGATAATTAATTTGGAAACAAATTCAGCACTGTAGAGAGACCCAAACATTTATCAATCTCACTCAATAGCTATATGAGAATGCAAAATGTCAAGTGATCTACAGTGGAAAATACAGTGAAAACAGAATTTAGACAAGGTTGCCTATTATCACCGATGGTAATCCTAATTCTAGTGGACTGGATCATGCAGAAAACAGTATATGTGGATCGATAAAACTGGAATGATTTTAGGCTGACAGAAAAAATATAAAAGATATGTACCTCTCCGATGGTTTATGCCTGATGTCATATAAACTTGAAGAGTTGCAGAGGAAAACCAAAAAACTGGCGGAAGAGGCTGGCTGGCGGTGAAGACAAGACTACAGGTGATCATAGAGAAGACGGAGGTGATGAAGATTGACACCAACCAACTAACCAACAGCAACAGCAACAACAACCCGCACCAATCACCATCAACGGGCGAGATCTAACAGAGGGTACTTCCTTCACCTATCTGGCCAGAAGGCGAGGTTTCAACAAGTGGCAGTCGCAACGGATGAAAATATTAAAACCAGACTGGGTCGGAAAGGCAAGATAAGCCTTCATCAACCGGAAACCAGTTTGGAAATCTGCGCTCAGACAGCATAAAGTACGAAATTCTAAATTTCAACACTGGTGCTCAGTCGCTCAGTTAATAAACATATATAGGTCAAAAACTTAGTGAAGGTATTATGAAAAGCATTTCGAACAGGCTACTGCTGTAAATATGGTCATTAGCTAACTTTATTGCCTCCATGTCGAAGGTCAGATGGCCAAAAATGATAAGCAACGACAAACTCTGGAAAGGTGCCAGCCAAGAACCTGTCACTCAGTGAATATGACGAGGAAAATCAAAATGGATCAGACAAACGCTAAAGAGACCATTGTTATACACTGAGCGCCGGATCATCACCCGAATGGAACCAAAATGAGAAACGTTGAGTTGTGTATGTGTGTGTGTTTGTTCCCAGGTGAAATGCAGGAGACTATGGGCAGTCGTACAGACAACCAAAAAAAGAACTCCAGCGAACCGGGGGAAATTTCCAATTTAACAAAATTATAGCCAAGTGAATGTCTGGAGAAAAATATTTAACTCATTTTGTTTTAATTAAAACAAATATCTAAATATTTTTTGGCGGTAAATTGAACACTGAATTGATTTCATTATTCTCAGATTAATGTTGTATTAACTGATGATAATACTTGTGGGCATGCGGCTCCACTCTCCTGAACCAACCACCCACACATACTCATTTATACATACACACACACCCACAGTGGGGTTGAAGAGTGGAGATAACTTTCCCCCAAACCTATTTTACTTTGTTACAGTTAACCCACTTGTACATAAACAAGTGGGACTGAACAATATTATTACTACTATTATTATTATTACTAGTATTGATAGTATGGTTTTTCTAGGATTAAAAACAATATGAAAATATTCTTTCTAGTCGAACTAGTGAACCAGTGTGTTTTCTGTTGTGAAATATCCTGTTTTATAGTACTCTTTTTGTCTGTCATCATTCCTTGACTCTCCAGCATTCCAATTAGAGGGGCATAGATACAGCACTTGCTTGGACGCGGGAGTTGGTGGTTAGGGGCGGCGGCATCGGGGGGCGGCTGCATTTTTTTACTATGATAAGTTTCAGTCACCTTCCCTCTTTTGTTGTTTTTTGTTCGTTTGTTTGAGAGGTTAAAGCCTAGAGTATGTCAGTAGGGAATCGAACTCACAGTTGCTGTATGGCTGACTAGGTGGTTGGTTGACTGACCGCCAACGCAAACATTACCAAGTCCACATTTATTTAATTAATTATTTATACATATAAATATATATATATATATCCATATATCTCATGGCATATAAAAGTCATTATTACAATTGGTCAGTTTTATGTCGGGATTAAAAAAATACCCTGAGCTTGTGTTAACTGTTGCTATAATTATTATGTGAGATGTGTAAACACACAAAAGTAGATAGGTAGATAGGTAAGTAGATAGATAGATAGATAGGTAGATAGATATTTGGGTGGTTGGAAAGATGGATGCATGGCTAGATAGATGATTTAAACACCTCCTTGTTCTCTTTTCACTACTTTATTAATTTTTTATTGTTCAAAAAATAAGCTGACTTTTATTTAACCAATCATAAATTTTGAAAAATCTGTATAAATATCCCAATTAAATTGTTATTCAAACAATATGTAAGAGAACCGAAGGCAGTCACTGATTCGGTTGATCCCGTTGTCTCGTTCGCTCGCTCGCTCGCTCTCTCTCTCTCTAGCCTCTCTCCATCTTCGTCGGTTTCATTGTCTCACTATCTGTCTCTGTCTCCGTGTTTGTGATTGTGATTGTGTGTGTGTGCGTGTTTCAGTGTCAGTGGAAGTCTGTACGTCTCCTGTGTGATTGATTCGTACAGACACAGTTCTACAAGAGATCTAACACTTCGATCTAACACTCATAACTGATCAATCTCTTTTGGTCCCACAGATTATATAAGTGTAACTCCAAACAAAATCTATCCACATCTACACAGACATTATAATTGTCGTGCGCCTTTCAATCAGTATTGTTACTATTATTATTATTATTGAAACAAAGGGAAAACCGTATTACTATTACATAATACACATGAAGTGGCCAATTGAAATGATTTTCTTATTAATGATCTATTCAATAATGCTACACTATTTACCGCATAGTCATGGTACCTCTTTAAACCGGGTAAGTTGAATTTATTTTACATTTATTTTGCTTTTTGTTTCATTAAGTTCATTTGCTATTTATATTGTATTATGTAGAACCGAAATATTGCACCTTAACTGAAAATATGGCCTAGCGCCTAGGAAGGAGGCTTCACACAAAGGGATGACTAGTAGTAATGGGAACACCAAAATCAATGACTGACTGACTAACCCACTTACTGTGTAACTGTAAATGACAAGTTTTATCCAGTTGACGAGTCCGAAATAAGACGAAATCCACGCCTTAAGCCATGCTGCTAGATAACTTCTGTATTGAAATCCACAAAGCACAGTAGAATGCGGTATTACACCATTTTTGTAAGTATTGGTTCTCACAAAGATTTCGTTGATTGTTAAGTCAGATCACAATTTGATATCAGTTTGACAGAGAAAGAGAGAGGAGGAAAACTATTTTTGCGTTCTTCATCGGTTTATAATTCTGAAGAGTCTCACTAGAGGGAAGGAAAGAAAAGTGCTTCATAAAAGTACTTTTTAAAAAGATACTATACGTAGGTTTTGACTAGTGGAACAACTAGGGCTTTAAGCTTTGAGGTGTAAGGTTTCAAAGAGCTGTGGTATCTTTCGTTCAATGACATGAGGTCTACTAACCTCTCACACATAGACACAAACCCAACTCAACCAAAGCATCTTTATCAGGACTACTGTACCTACAGGCTAATAAACTAAGGGAGGTTTGTAGAAGCGTTTCGACCGAGAATCAAAGTCTCACTAAGTGCGTAGGTGGTCAACAGCTACTTCAGCTACTGAAACAACGTCTTTTGAAGCTGGGATTAATTGAGTTCGATGTTTTAGATAGTGTCAAATAGAAGAACTTTTATGAGTAGTGGTTTTTGTGTTGGTCATCGTCATAGACTGGTAAACTACTGGTGATTTAGATGTCCGGGTAATGATGAAAGTCGGAATTTTGATAACATTTCAACTATTGACCTATGGATTACTAATCTCTTGACCTATGAGTTGAAACTACAAGTCTCAACTACAAACTAGGCTGTTATTTTGTTGTAATTGTACTCACCAGATAGTGTGAGCAAATGTTACGTAACTAGCCGTGTTTATCTTATATATGCATCAAAAGATGTTCATTACAATATCAAATTGTTTATGTAATACTTTGTATATGCATATATAATCTGGTGTTATTTAGGCGTCAGTATGATTATTATTATCATTATTATTCCCTTGGGCTCCACGTGGGGCGCAGGAATTCAAAAGTACATCTCTCTTTCACTCTCTTCTTTAAGAAGTCTTTGATAACTGTCTATACCATCACCTATAAGTAATAATTTCTTTTTCAAATCATTCTCGGAATAGTCGTTTCCCAGATTTCAGGTTCTACCCAACATCCTGCCAGACTTGTGAAATGTATATCACTGAAACTGCCACTTCAAAGTGTAAACCCAATCCATCCATCTCCATCTTTTTCTGCATATTTGTGCAGCAGGCGATAGGATCTTGAATTTTTCGTTACCTGCCGGCTGTGAACTCATAATACTATTGAATAACCCACGTTGAATAAGGCAAGTTGGCGAAATGTCAACGACAGAAATCTCTACAGTAATCAGTGGATCCTGAGTTTGAACCCCCACCTGGCCAGTACGGCTGAAGAGTCCCACACTAGGCGGACTAAACAGCTGTCCAGTACTCCCAACTTATTTTTCAATAGTTCTCTAAATGATGTCAGTTCAAGATGAAATCTTCCAACCAAGAATAATAATAATAATGATAAATCGTTGTAATACATGTGGAAGGGAGTAGGTTTATAGTCGAAAGAATGATTTTCTAAGTGTAAAGAAAGCAGTTGGAATGAAAAGTAGCTTGTATGTGTACTGTGTCATAACTTAGGCAAAAGTTTCTTCAAAAGTATTAGCAAAATAAAACACTTAATTGCGTGTGTGTTCACAGTAAAAATTTATGTAAAATAATATTCATATATATATATATATTATTTTATCCAACAGGCTATCAAATATTCAGTGATAAAACTTTATTCGACTAAGTATAAATTAGATTCCTCCAAACAGATTTTCCTTTACAGATTTGATCTTAGGCTAACATCAGTTAGAAAACCGTTAGGAAACCAGACACCGATTACTGGACACCTGTTTCGTCCCTGCATTTGGGACTGACTCTTCAGCAACAGTACGCACTCGTTGAGGTTCGAACATAGGACCTTCCGATAAGAAGGCGGGTGTGCAGACCACTGTGCTATTGAGATTCGATGAGTTCAAACCTCTTCCAGTCAGCCAGTGTCAAAAGCGAGTTACTCTTATCTTGCCTGACTTGGTGTACGCCACTGACCACGACTTCCTAATTAAACTGGAACTTCAGATAACTTACGGCTATACAACTAGTTATGAAAGGTGTTAACACCACCAGAAATCCACTGAAATAATCCCTTTTACCTCGTGATTTTAGTCGTTTCACAAGTATAATGTGATATATATCAAGTCTTTAGTGATATCACTCACACCTACCTAGTAGTGAATACGTTTACCCTGGTCATGTAGACACACAATCTGAGTCGATTAACAAGCAACATGTTAATGTTATTACTCAGAAATTCAAAAACCTTTTGACTATTTAGAAAGTACCAGTTAAAAGAAATAAATCACTGAGCTCCGTCCTCTTGCCCCCCCCACCCGCGTCCCCATTATACGATTGTTTCACACTGGAAGACAAGTATCTTTCAATACCATTCACTAGAGAGAACTTTGCACTACTTATGCATAACCGAATTATTAGCTTTCTGGGAAGTGAACTTTTGATTTCTCAGTTCAAAAGCATTGCATATGTGTCAACTCACCTTAACCATGAGTAGGTGAGTAACATTCTTATTTTCCGAAGACATATAACGTCATACTGAGTTACACTCCTTCTTAATGAATGATCCTTTGAACGCAAAACTTTGAAAAACTGAAAGATGGTGAGTATATATGTTAACGTTGAAAAAAACCTAATAAAACTTACCTCAGTCTCATTTCCACCTATGCTTGAATGGATGCGACAGAGGCGATTTTAAGGAGTTCCTTCAGACAGATTGTCTTTTTATGATTATGAATAACGTGCTTAGAAGAATACTATGATAGTAATAATAGTAGTAATAATTATTATTTGCTTTATTCTAAAACATCACTTATGATAGAGCGTGGATTTTTGAGCATTTGGAACAATATTGCATTTTATCTACCCCAAAAAACCATTACATAGCATGGTAACCAAAACTGATAGCAGCTACGTTTTGGTATCAGAGGTGACAATAAATTCAAAAATGCACAGAAAGTGTAAAACTATGAGATGACTGAAAGTGTCACCGTAAATTAAAAATAGAAGGGGGAAAAGACCCATTTATTTTCCTAATTACAAGAATAACTTATAAGTTTCACCCTTAACAATATCTCCATCTTATACAACGTGAATAGACCAAACAGGGTATCGGTGAGTTTCGCAGCTTAGTTCTGTGAGCAAATAATAATCTTTTTTAATGACTTCTAATTCTTCCTGATGAGATGCAATGGGTTGGAGAGGGGGATTTGCAAATAGATAGGGTGTTGAGAGTTGGACAATGTGGATTTACTCTATTTCTCACTTCAGTTAATGTGTCTCTCGACTACAAGTGTAACTAGCTTACTTAGTGCCACGCAACCCACCTTACTAACAACCTACATTACCCTTCACAATATGATATAGTCGTTTTTGAGTAACCCAGTAAAGACTGTGAAGGGGGCGGGTAGCAATAATCAACAATAAGTAAGATGCATGGGATAATTAATTATAAAATTAGAGGTTGAGTGGCGACAGACTAACCTGACTCCTTAATATAGTAGGCTAAACAAGATATGGGATGATCAAGAAAGGGCAGTGGAAAGAACTATTCCAATGGTATTCAATCCTTGACTTAAGTTACTATTTCATTGCCTTTCATGCTACAAGCATCTTGTGAACGATCAAGTTCATGTAGATCCCGTTTATGTTTGAAAGTGAAGTTAACTATCTGACATTTGGAGGTATTTAGCGTAAGACCATTCATCTTGGACCATTAACTTATGTCTGACAAAAAGCTATTTAGTTTGGAACAGCCAGATTGAGATGTGACTGTCAACGAAACAGTCAGATCATCAGCATATTTAACAAAATAATTGATTTTATCGGAAAGAGGCAAATCGTGTTAAAAGAAGGGCATAAACAACTGGAACAATGTTACGTTCGGCTGTTTAAAGGGTGATTCACTGACAATCTTTTTGCACACCATCAATACCCAGTATGATGTTTGCTTTAAGTATGCACGAAAACACCTTGCGAAAGCTTTCATTCTCATATAAAACTGAACTATCCTGCTAAAATTAGAAAATTAAAATTTTTATTACCTAAAAGATGTAAGTGTGCTGGCCATCACAATTCTACCAGTAGCCACTGTCCCTAAACGAGCAATACAAGGCTAGCAAGCACTAGTGCTTGATGTTGGTTGTATTCAATTACCTGAAATCTAGTGATCAATACTGTATTGCGTAACAGACGTCCGGGGTTCGATCCCCTGTCGACGCACACCTGATATCAATGGTCGGCCTGCAAAATTTGGGCTACCGATATCAAATGCTAAAAATTTCATGCCTGTACCGAAAAAAGGGTGTGAAATAAGGCTGTAATCAAAAATATAAAAAGTAAAAATTTCGTCTTTGTATGGAACACTTCAGAAGTACTCTGGAATGACCTCTTCAAGAATTGAACCCGGAATTTTTCACCCTACGAATTTAACCGAAAGAACATTCATCTGTTGAGTTTGAATTCAGTTTCAATTAATGTTATCAGAGAGTATTCTTCTTCCCACTCTTCACTTAATGGATCCTACTGGTCACGACTTCTTATTAGGACTTCAAGGGGTCCATTCAATAGTCAGTCCTTGGAGGGAACCAGCACTCCTCGATTCTCAACAGTCCCTTAATTAATTTCAAAACAGCATTTATGATTATTACTATTATTACTACCTTGGATTCTGAGTGGAATAAAGGACTTCAACAGCACTTCTCTGTCTAACCCTGTTGCCGACAGTACTCTTTAGATGGCTCCACGATTCCCCATAGACTCTCATCTCCTCCATGTTCCCCTCAAACACATACCCAACTCATAGTTTTCTATTCAGGTTCTACTCAAGAGCCTGCCACATTTGTGATATATATCGCTAAACCACCACCTCAACATGTAAACCCAATCCATCCATCTCCATTATTTTCCCTTCATATCTGTTGGGTGGGCAATAGATTCTTGGTTTGGTTTATCACCTGCCAGACATCCTTATTGCCTATATTTTTTTGTTACAGGATTTCATCATGAGGTGACATTAGAGAACCATTGGAAAATTTGGGAGTACCAGACAGCTGTTTCGTCCTAGTTTGGAACTCTTCAACAGTACGCACCCATCGGGATTCGAACCCGGGACCTTCTGGTTACAAGGTGAGCTCGTATACCATTAAGCCACTGGGACCTGACCTGATTCAATGGCCCATGAATTCTAACTTCTACCAATCCACGACATAGCGCGACCACCAGCCAATGTCTTCGACGAGTATTTTTCCTCACACCTGACCTGCTGCACCCTACTGTTCACTAGCGACTCGCCCTTTTCAGTTAGGTAGTTACCAGGAGTTCTAGTGAGAAGTTATGACCTGGGTGGGTGTGTACTTATGAAGAGTCCCAAACTAGGACAAAACAGCTATCCAGTACTCCCAGGTTTTCCAATGGTTCTCCAACTAATGTCACCTCATGATGAAATCCTGTAACTGAACAAATCCCTACAAACCAACACTTGATTATACTTTTTTGTTTAAATATTTTTTTGGAAAATTGAATAAACTATCGTTGTTGCTTTTCTTCACCCTCCTTTTTCGACTTTATTCCCAGTTTGACGCTGAAAATGAAGCTCTTATCAATGAGTACTTTTCATCTGAAAAAATGGATGAAGCAGCCGAGAATTGTGTACGCCTTGTCAATAGTAGAACTTATAATAGCAACACTAATAATAATAATAATTACTATAAAAAAAAGAAAAGTAGTATTAAAGTTGAACAAGAATATGATACTGATATTATAGATCCAGCCTTACTTTCATATGAAGTACGTAAATTAAAATGGAGAAACTGTATCATCAAAGAATTGGATCGTATTAACCGTGGTCTATTCCAATGGAATCCAACTTCACTGTTAAAATTTAATGAAGAATAAGAAAATATAATTTGAAACAGTGCAATGAAAATTTTAAAAAAAGTACTTTATCAACAACAAAAACAATAATAAAAATAACATTAACTACAGATAAACAAAAAAAAGTGTTGAACAATTTTCAATACACATATACATATATATATTCCATTTCAAAACAAATCAAAAAACCCGCCAAAAATTTTAAAACACAAATTAAAACAAAAACAACAATAAAGTAATAAGAAAGATAGCTATTTAATGTTTACTAAGATTTTTAACTTATAAAACAAAATAAAATCAGTATCCAACTGCATCAATGTTATCTTTATAGATCTCCTTCTACTCAATTTCAAAATACATAACAAGTTTGAATAAAAATAAATAAATTTCTACAAGACAATGAATAAATTAATGTACTTTTAAATATTTTTTTCCAGTATTTTAATGTTTGTCATCGATGTCTCTCCTGTGGCTCTTACTCGTCATCATCATCATCATCATGATCATCGCCATCACTGTCCTATTTTCTACCTGTCGGTTGAGAGTATAATAGTACTCCTACCTGACTGTGTGTTTGTCCCTGTGTTTGTGCGTGTGCGTGTGCGTGTGTTTCATTCACTGTTTAAAAATATACAAAACCATACTATTTATGCTTCTATCATTCTGATAATAAGTGGTCACCAGTCGGAGAATATTCACAGCATGCTCTATACTACTGAATGACTGACATGAATGAGTAGTTGGATAGGGCTCGTTATCAAAAAAATTGCGTTCACCAGCCAGGCTGCTTGTTCGTAGTCGTTTAAAAACACCGAGTGAAGGTTTCACTCTCTGGAGGGGTCGGGCTCATCAACAGCGTGCCTGATTTAACTCAGCTCAGAGAATTGAATCAGTTGAACCCATTTAAGTTCTCACTAGCTGGCTACTTGGTCGAACTCAGTGATACCACATACACCAAAATTCATAATTTCACAATTAGTTGGAAATTTTCACAGTTCGAGGTGGTTATTTCAGCGAAGTCTCCTTTGAAAACTGTCGGCATGAGCTGAGTCAAACTGGCTACACACAGCTGATGAGCTTGGCTCCTAACGAACGAAACACCATTTTAATTACAAGATGATTTCAGTTATAAAATTACTACAGACCATCAAAGACTACTGCAGAGTTGTTTTGTCCCTGAGCAATAGGCACTCATGAAGAAAATAAAAAAAAACAAATTCAGCGAAGAAAATTTTCTTTATCGACGAAATCATCTTTAGAGGCTGTACAGTCGTATTTATATTTACCAAAAATGTATAGTATTCTATTATTGAGTAACACAGGGGGTTACATAATTGATATGATTACTCAGAACTGGATTTAGAAGTAAAAAATAAAAATTGTAAATGACGTAGTACTCAACGGCAAAAAGGAAGAAGGCGTTAGAAATTTGATAAGTTTAAAATTGCTACTGAGTGAGAAGAAAGGCGGTAGTTGAGTGTCCATTTAACAAGTGTGAAGATGATGAGAAAATGTACGAAAAGGAACATAAATGAGGGCGATAATAATGAATTAATTATTAGAGTGAAAGTAAAGTAATTATTAAAAATGAGAGGGAACGAATAATGAAGAGGTTAAGACCATGGTAGAATAAGAGGCTAGACAAACGTCTTCTGCATAAAGAATTCGAGGTTGTATTGACGAATTTACCAACGCCTTCGTTAAGAAAAAGATCTGATGGTTCTCTTCAGAGTTCAATCTACAGGAAACCAACATGGAATGGTGAATGCATGAATTTTCATAGCTGAGTCCCTTTGAGAAGAAAGAGGAACCTGATTCACTCCTCATCCTCAAGAGCGACTCAGGCAAGTCCTCAGGGAAAATGGATAGCCTTCAAGATTTATCGAGAAAATAACTTGAAAGTAAAGCAGAAACCGAAAAGAACTCAGATGGTGCTGGAGAAATCGCTATTTATGAACGTTGAATTTTAAGGTGATGACCACAGCTAAGTTCCTGAAGGACTGCTTATCCAAACCACTTGGAAAACCCTTCATTGCGGCTGAGCTACGGAGGAATGTCAAAGTGAACTGGATTCATGGTATATGCAGAAGTTAGACTAGTTTGTTTTGAACACGTGACCTCGGTATTTTGATACATATTGTGAGAGCTTCTGCAGTACAAAGAAATTAGAAAATCCACTGCATTTTATAGATACTTTTTGTTTACTTTGCAAATGACTCTGAATAGTGGATGATGAGGCGATTGAGATTCTGTGACAGGTTTTGACGAGATATTCAGTTATACCATTTTTGAATGAACCAGTGTCGCCTCTTCGCAGCCATACTGGGTGATTTTCACTGACATGTTCTGGAAAGGACGCGAATAAAACGGCCTACTCACCTGGCTCTTCAGGAGCACATGAATTGACATGTCCACATTGGAGTGTCATATTCAAGAGTTCATCCTTCATATTGCTTATAAGCAGGATCCACGTGCTAACGACTGAAGGAATTGACGTCCCCCCACCCAATACTATAGTCATACACCCAATCACTAAGTTATTTAAGCTCGTAATTCATCTTTTTGTAAGACTTCAGTAGTAGATACAATGACTGCTTAACTATACAGTAACTGATATCATGTCATACGCTGACGAATAGGATTGAGTTCACGCTGACGTCAACAAACAGCTAACTACACACATCATATTGATTAATCCCTGTCTCTATCTATCTATCTATCTATCCGTGATCTACCTATCTATCTATCTATCCCTGATCTATCTATCTATCTATCTATCCCTGATCTATCTATCTATCTATCTATCCATCTATCTATCTATCTATCTATCTATCTATCCCTGATCTATCTATCTATCTATCTATCCCTGATCTATCTATCTATCTATCTATCCCTGATCTATCTATCTATCTATCTATCTATCTATCCGTGATCTATGTATAAAAGTGGCGTAAAAAGAACTAACTTCCTTATCAAGTCTGAAATGCAGAGATTGAATGTTATATATAGCCAGAAATTCATATCCTGCAAAAATGCTTCAAATATATGGAAACTATTTAAGGAGATCACTGGTGGTAAGCAGATTAACAATATTCCGTATTCTTCTGATGTATGTACTCTTAATAAATCTTTTATTTATTCCCCCTCAAATTCCATGCTTCCCAGTATCACTAGTGTTAATAATAGCCCCTTTCCAGGTTTTAACACAAATGATGTTCAAAAGTGCCTCAAGTCTCTGAACCCTTCCCAGAGCTTAGGTCCAGATCATGTACCGAGTATTATTTTCAAAAAATGTTCTGATATTCTATGTTACCCTCTCACTGATCTGTTTAACAAATCTTTTTCCAGTAATATTGTGCCTGCCGTTTGGAAAGACATTAAAGTTGTACCCATACCTAAATCGTCTACTGGAGCATGTGTCAAATTTAGACCCATTGCTATTACCTCTCCTTTTTTGAAAACTATGGAGAAACTACTTTTACTTAGTCTTGCACCCTCTCTTAAATCCTTTAATGACCCAAAACAGTTTGCTTATAAGCACAGTAGAAGCACTTTAGATGCAGCTGCCGTCTTATATCATAACATTGCTTCCAGTCTAGACAAAGGGGCCAAATTTGTCCGTTGTGCCTTCCTAGACTATACATCTGCTTTTGACTCGGTCCCTAGGGACATCTTGTTAAATAAACTTGCTGTAAGTCAAACAGAATGTTGGGCTGTTAACTGGTTACACTCTTATTTCTCAGAAAGAAAGCAGTACACCGTGTATAAAGGGAAGTCTTCCACTTCATTACCTACTGAAGCTGGTGTCCCTCAAGGCGCTGTCCTTTCTCCTTTTCTTTTTTCTTTCTTCTTACATGACTTGCCTCAGTCCGATGAAATAAATTTTGTGAAGTACGCTGATGATTTAACTGTTTCAATGGCTGTTAACTCCCAGCTAGATTGTACCAAAATAAATAGCTTTCTGTCGGAAGTCAGTAAATGGTCTGAGTCTAACGGTCTTAAACTGAATCCTTCTAAATGTCAAACTGTTAATTTCAGCTTAAGGTGTAAACGGCAGTTAAAAGAAGCCGTCGATTCTTATGACAGTTGTAAGATTGATGACAATGATATAGGAATTAAATCAGAAATTAAGTATCTTGGACTTATTCTCTCTTCTGATCTCTCCTGGTCTTCCTATGTCTCAGCGATCTCCAGTAAAATATTCCGCCTGACATTTTACATTAAGAAGTTAAGGCACTGGGGTATAACTCAACCCCTCCTCTTACAGTTCATAAACTCTTGCATCCTACCTATTCTTCTTTATTGTTCACCCTTATTCTTTCCTGGTTTGCTTAAAAGGGACTTTGTCACAATTCATAGAATGCTGAAGACTGTCAGCAGAGTGAGTGGTGTCCCAGTGGACTACATAGTTAACGTCGTTGTCGATAGGCATTTGACTTCGTGCAGTATATTTGCCAAAGGGATTTTGTCTGACTTGGAGCATCCACTTCACCCTCAGCTTTCACCTTGCATCTCCTCAGGTAGAACGAGAAGTAACTTCAGAAAACTGTATGCTCGCACGTCTAAGTATCAAAATTCTATGATACCATACTTGGCACGTATTTTATGTGATGAAAATAGCGTCAGGCAAGAATTGACTAACCTTTTTTCATCTAGTAAATAAACAATCTTCTCCATCCATCCTTATATACCTTCAAGTTTTACTTTTATTATTTCTATTATATTTATGGTCCTGTTGCTTCTTGTTCTCATTTTCATAACTGCAAACACCAACTTATCTCTATGACTGCTGTAATTTTTGTTTTTCCCCTCACCATATCATGTAAAGAGAACATCATATTCAATATTTTTAATCATGCAAGGATTCGTATACCGCATCGACAATACTGTGTGAAACAAGCCGACGGCAATTTTCACTTGTATTATTATTATTATTACCTTAGCTGCTATTATTATTATTATTTCCATTATATATGCTGAATGTTTTTTATTTTTTATTTATTTATTTTTATATTAACCGTATTGTAAATGTAGAAAAATTTTCTTTGTGATTAATTTTATTTATAATTTGAGGAAATTAGATGCAATATTGTGATTAATGCTGAAAATTCCATTCTGTATCACAAGTACTGTTTTTGGAATAAAGTAAATTATTATTATTATTATTATCTATCCGTGATCTATCTATCTATCTATCTATCC